GATAACATTGCAGATTATTCTTTGGAGTTTGTTCAGAATCTGGAGCAGGTGCACCAGACTATATATGGCAGCACGGACGAATGAAAGACTTATAAATGTGCGAGATGGATTCTAGCGAGAAAAAATTGTCTGGTCTGACATAGTGAATCAATTTTCCCGACGTTTTACCCACAGGGCTAACTCTGCGATAGTCAATGCTGATGCTGGTTCAAGCTGGTTGTTGGTCGCTGGCCGCTTTGATCTGCACTAACTCTGCCCACGTTGTATCCTTGATCTCTCAGCAGTGCACGATCGAATGTCGTAGTCATCACAGCGCTGGTTCAAACCGTAGTGGGTGCTATATTAAGGAAGAAATATCGTCACAACGAAAAATAAAAACGGAAGATTCATTGGGTTAATCTTCATTTAGTCTATATAGTTCTTGGAACAACAGTTAACCCTTCAGTCTCTATAGTGACACTGTGCCTCGCTTAATATCTGGGGGGTTCATTGTTCTTTAGAATCAGGAAATCTGTTGACAGCCTACATGGATTCTAGAGACCTAAATCTTAGAGTTCTCAAAGCTATCTGCTTATAGGCACTTCAGCTCAAAACTGGCATTGGACCAAAGGGTTCTTGGGATTCGTTGATTCTTCAGTTTCCACATATTAATAAGAGTTATTCCCTATCTCTGCTTTCTTAATCAACTTTTCAAATTTGAAGAATTTTCCACCTTCTCAGGAGTAGTTACAGGGATTGCTTCTCCCCTAATTACAACCTGCTTCACTTCACACCTCTCACCACCACTCCACACAGGCGGCACCAAATCCTCTCTCTTTCTCTTATCTCGGCATTCCACCTCAGCCTACTTCTCGGGGCTGGCATAACTGTCTTTGACGAATATAATTTTTAAATCGTGTGGGCGAAAGGACGTAGTTTATTCTAATCATTAATTTTAGTTCTAGTTTAGTTTTAGGTAGAGGTAAAATTATCTCTCCATTCTTGGACTTATGTCTCGCGAAAGCACAAAGCAGATCACCTCAGCAACTAAAGTTTTCATAACTTCGATCCTAAGAAAAAGGTTCGTTCCTTGTTTTCATTTCCCAGTTCGTTTTCGTCAATGAAAACGCTTGAGGTGACAAAAGAAATGAAAAGAGAAACCAATAAACAAGGAAATCAAAAATATAAAAAAAAAAAAAAAAAGGGAAAAGAAATATAAACAGGACATTAAAAAGACGGACACTTACGCAATAATCCAAAGTGTTTTATGTCTAAAATCGCCCAAGAGAAGTATCACTAACAGTTTCGACTTTAGAGTTGTCTTTCTTTTAGACTGGTTGCCAATTTTAACCATAGCTAGGGAAAGAAGAGATGAATTCATATATTTCTCAAACTGTATTTGCGCGTAGGGGGATCTAATGGGTTAGAATTCGAACGTGTCTCTCTACTATCTACTCTTATTGAGGAAAAGAAGTAAAAGAAAAATACTAAATAAAATTTCAGAGTTTACACGGAGACGTTAGAAGTATAGAGTTGTAGATTTTAGAAGGATATGTGCGACCGCGACCGACAACAACCGATGATCCTGGCGGTGAGGTCATTCAGATAAATTATAGTTTTAACTTGTTTAAATTCATGCAGGATTTAAATTTAGTTTTACTGTTTCTCTCATGGTGAATTCTTGAACACTTTCCACTTTTTTTTTAATGAAGATGGTCGCTCCATGTATGAACTACAAGTGGCCGCATGAATCGTTCCTATTTTGGTAAAATAGTGAAGTTAGTTTTCTAGAACTTTATGAGGAGACAGTCGCAGGAAGATGACATTGTGTTTATGACAGACTCAGAAATGAAAAAAACAAAAAAAAAAAAACAACCCTTAGGTAAAGTGATAACGAAAAGCAAGAAGAAAGGACAATTATTAAGTGCAAAAAACAGAATGCACGGTCGTTAGCAAAAGAGGCGCGTAATATACGGATCAGGGATGTTAAAATCTGGCAATTACAGAAATTTAACTATCTAATGTAATGATAGGCGACGGAAAATGTAACATAAAAATTAGAGGACGCAGAGGAATCTAAGCAAAGTATTGAGGGATTTCTTGAATCCTTTCACCCCAAGCAAGGCGATAATGCCACTAAAATACAAAGAGTGACTGGGAGTGGAAGAGAATGAGGAAGGACAATAAAAGAAGAGGACTCAAGAAGACTGAAGATGGAGATTGATGCATTTAAATTTGTGAAAATTGTATTTGGCGTGGAGGCAAGAAGTCGGAAGAGAGTACCACTTTCGGCCGAGCGGGCATTTGGCCGAGCGGGCATTTGGCCTAACGGACATTTGGCCGAGAGACATTTGCCCGAACGGGCATTTGGCCGAATGGACATTTGGCCGAACGGACATTTGGCCGAGCGGGCATTTGGCCGAACGGACATTTGGCCGACGGACTTTTGGCCGTGAGACATTTGACCGAGAGACATTTTGCTCGAACGGACAATTGCCCGAACGGAAATTTGGCTGAAGGACATTTGGCCGAGAGACATTTGCCCGAGCGGACATTTGGCCGACAGAGATTTGGCTAAACGGACATATAGCCGACGGAGATTTCACAGAAAAAGTACAAGTAAAAATAGTACCAAGCAATTTTAATTAACAGTATTATAAGTTAAAATAGGACTAATAATTACCACTGAATTTCAAGTGATTAAATTACTAAATCGAAATTTAAAGTTAAGAGTTTTCTCATTTCAATATTTGTTTATTGAAATTAGTATTCTTAAAAATATTTGAGTGTATTTGGGTAAAAAGTAGCACCTAGTTATTTAAATTCGTTTTTAACAGTAAGATAAAAGCTAGTTCATCCCTTTAAGATGATCATTAAAAGCGAAATTGAAAGATCTTTCATATCGTAAAAGCTTAAGATTTTTGCTGTAGTAAAATGTATTTTTTCTCAAAATACTTATCATCTTACAGTAATATTTGAAGTAAAATATAATATATACAGTATAGATTATAAAAAAGCCTGTCACCCCCCCCCAAAAAAAAAGAAAAAATATAAATTAATACAGTAAATAAATATAAATATATGTAGCACATTACGATAGCGAGTGTGACAGACATGTAAGTACGCCACTACATTTTCGGTTAAATGCCCGTCTGCCAGATGTCCGTCTGCCAGATGCCCGTCTGCCAGATGTCCGTATGCCAGATGCCCGTCTGCCAGATGTCCGTCTGCCAGATGTCCAAGTACCGACAAATAGGGATTATAAATGTTCAAAAGTTGAGAAACAGACGACGAGAACTTGAAAGAATTTGGTAAATAAAAGAACAGGCGTAAAAACAACGCATATAATAATTTTATTATTGGGGTCTGTATATTAAATCTGTTAGACTCCTCTTATGGTATATCAAGACACAGCGCAACCAGGCTAGGTGTTGTTGCTGTGGTTTCAAGTCGCTTTTTATGAGGTGGAGTTGGTAACTCCACACCCTACCTGTTTTAAATTCAGACTTTTCTTTCTTCAAGAACGATTGCCAACCAAGGTTAGAATGCCAAGTCTACCCTGCTATTAAACCCTAGCTCCAGGAAGAAGAAATGGATTGTTACTTTTACAAGGATATTTGTACGAAAGCTAACACAACGGTTTCGGGTGGAATTTAAACTTAGTACGCCGATCTCATTTTCGGACTCGACAACTGCTACACTACACACACATTCATAAATTGTGGTGGGTGAGCCAATTAATTTCAGAGTCGTGGACATTGTACTTGAAAAGGCAGAGTTTTATGAAGAATTAGGAGAGGAAAAGAAGACACATTTACAAGCTAGACTAGACATAGGCCTCTATGCGGGATCAGTCTAAAATGCCCAGACATTATCATCGACTGTCCGTCGGATTCGATGAAGACACGAGGAGGAGATTCATCTAGGTCCGATGGTTTGAATCGCGTGACGACCATGTCTCTGGGCTGATGCTAGTAATTGGCCAACCTCGATTCTTCGATTGTTGCTACTCCTATATAAAGCGTTGATGCAGTCTTTATAGCGGAGTCTTTGCCTTGACGTCGCGTCCTGCATTTTAGTTGACCATACATGGCCATTTTCGGTAATCGAGTCATATCCAGTCTATCGTAGTCTCGATTCTGCTAGCAGGGCTTCTACACTTGGCATGTTTGCTTTGGAAAGGACTTAGGTGTTAGAAACATTGTCTTTCCACGAGATATGCATGATGTATCGATGGCGGCATTGCAAACTTGTCAAGAGCTTGATATCCCTGCGGTATAGTGGTGCAGATTTCAGGGCGCACATCAAGTCTTAAATGTCAGAAAAAAAAAAGAAAATATCAGAAGAATGAACAAATGGAGAGAAGAGAAAGTTATGAGGCATTTGATTTATATACATCTGTGGTGCAATGGGACCAAGAAACTAACATAACAGAGGCTATGAAATCACGATGTCTCGCCTGCCCAATCGGAGCCGCCATTTGCAATTAAGTCAAAGCGCATGCGTAGTTCTAGCTCTTTTAAAACTATCGTTAATTTTCATCAGAAAACCTGAATAAAAACTGAGCCAGATGGGCGATAGAAGGACTGGTTCAAGTGCTGTGTTGTGCTGCTCTGTGGTTGTTTACAACTGCGCTGACATTGAGCCAAATGTAGCGTCATATACATTTGCAAAATTGAAATGTTACGCATTCTACTTGTTCTGTGATCCAATTACTCTAGCTGCTTGATCTGATTAAGAACAGTTATAACTTTAAATTTGATTAGGGGCAGTTAATATATTTGTATATTCAGTGTGGACAGAGCAATGACCTGGTTGGGAACTTTGTTGTTTTTTGGAAGTCAAGTAACCATTTCATTTCCCTATTTATACATATTTTGTTATCAAATCAGTGACTCTCTTTAAAATTAGAGAGGGACAGTGCGTGCTGTTGTTGCAGTAGCCGAAGAATAAAACGATAGGTAGTCAGGTTTTATTCCACGACACTGAAACTATTATTTGGTGGGGACAGTTTTCGAGCATACGGACATATCACGTTGAAACATTGGTTCCCGTATGATCACCGAAATTAAGCAACGTCGAGCCTCGTAACTACTTAGATGGGTGACCGCTTGGAAATACCAAGTACTGTAAGCTTGAATGTGCGGGTGGTGTAATAGATAACGACGACATTGGAAATCAGACAGCCGAGTTTCAGTTCTAGTCGGGTTTGTTATATGTAAAACAAAAGGAAAAAAAAAACCAAAACATTTCTCTTTTTTTCCTTTGCTTCATATTTCAATTCATGTTTTCACCTTAACGTTTTTTTAACGTTTTTAACCCTTCCAATTGTCTAATTCCTGTGTGTGTGTGGGGGGGGGTGTTACACATGAACCTTTTTAATCCTAATTTCATACTATTACTATGCTTTATTTTTAAAAGAATGATTAGACCAAAAATGGAGTATTGTTGCGATATCTTGACTAGAGATGCTCAGTCCTCACTTTTCAGCCTTTATCAACAACTTTTAAAAATTATCTCCAACGAATTTAATTTTGTTTTCTAACTTCCAAAACGACCGATTGAAAATCCAATTGTTTACATTTTGGCTTTACTTAAATTTGCTTCCCGGCCGACAATGACCTTCGACTACACAACATTCAACTATTCAAAACAATGATTTTCCTGACAACAGTTTTCTGCTATTTCAAACGGCAATTTTTTTTTGTTGTCGACTTCCCTTTTGTTGTAAATTTACCAAAACGACCCAAAGAATTCTTTGTCCATTTTCAAGACTACACTTCAGATCCTTTACATTCCGGCTATTCTTATTTGCTTTTCAGTTTATATTTTTTTCAAAATCAGATTTTGGACTCAACATTTCATTCAACGTTTTTGGTTATCAGAAAGGAAAAAATAAACTTTTCTCTTTTTTCTTTCGTTTCATATTTCAATTCATGCTTTCACTTTAAGGTTTTTTATCATTTTCAGCCCTTCCAATTCCCCAATTCTATACGAGGTTTTCACATGACTCCTTTTTAATCCTATTTTCATACTACCAGTATCACAATAGTGTCATATCTGCGCGTAAGTTCACGTAACGAACCTGACTGGAAATTGAACTCGCCTCCCTGATTTCTCATTCCCAGACGTTATCCATCACACCACACATACATCTACCCTTGGTTACTAGAAGCAAAAGAAAATATGTTCAAAGCCATAAATCGATTTTCTTGTATATATTTTAGAATTTGTAAATGTTCAAGTGTATCAATAAAATTATCAGGTCATCCCATAAGTTCTGTCCGAACTTTTTGTTAAAATGAACAAAATTTAAAGAGTATTTTATAATGTCTAATGGAGTTGAACATTATTTTTATGTTTAGATGCATTTAAACTGATCAAATTTTATTTCAGAGAACAATAAACTTAAATTTTGTTTGATTAAAACCCTGCTAACATGGAAGTACTCAAGAATCATTTGAGGGACATAATGCTTTATGAGTTCAAGAAAGGAAACTCAGCAGCCGAAGCGGCTAGAAACATTCACTCAGTTTATGGAGAGGAATGTGTGAATGAAAGAACTTGCAGAAGATGGTTTGCAAAATTCAGAGGTGGAGATTTCATCCTTGAAGATGAAGATCGAACCAGACGTCCAGTTGAGTTTGATGAAAAGCTTCTTGAAGTAGCCCTTGAAGAAAATCCTACTTTATCAGTTGAGGAATTGGCAGTGGTTCTCAATTCAAACCATACAACTATTCATCGTCATCTTCAACAACTTGGAGAAGTTCCTAAACTTGGAAAATGGGTGCCTCATGAATTGTCTGAAAACAAACTCAAATCCCGAGTTGACATCTGCTCTACTCTCCATTCTCGCCAACTTGTTTCACCTTTTTTGGATAGACTTGTGACTGGCGGCGAAAAATGGATCTTTTATCGAAATGTTAAGCGTCGTAGACAGTGGCTTGGTAAAGGGGGAAGGACCCCAGCCACAGGTGAGAAGGGAACTTCATGGGCAAAAGGTTCTTCTTTCAATTTGGTGGGATAGCCAAGGAATAATCCACTTTGAATTCTTACCACCTAATGCAACAATTAATGCTCAAATATACTGTCAGCAACTAGAGCGTTTGAACTAAGCTTTGAGGAATAAAAGACCTGCTTTAGTGAATTGAAAAGAGGTGATGTTTCATCAGGACAATGCGCGACCCCACACAGCAAGAATCACGTCACAAAAGATCGAAGAACTTGGTTGGGAGAAAATTTCTCATCCACCTTATTCTCCCGATCTTGCTCCTTCAGACTACCATTTGTTTCGAAGCTTACAGAATAATTTGGAAGAAACAGCTTTTGTAATACAGGAAGAGGTTAAAACAGACATTTGCGAGTTCTTCGAATCAAAGCCAAAAGAATTTTACATTAATGGAATTAGTAAGCTTGTTTATAGATGGTAGGAAGTCATAGATAATCAGGGAAAATACATTGTTGATTGAATCTGTAATTAAATGTAACATTTGGTCACTTGTTTTCTTTATTCAAAATTCGGACAGAACTTATGGGATGGCCTGATATTTTCGAATCAACCTTTTTTTTTAATGTCTCGCTCTCTTCGTTGCTACTCAAAGGTGAGCAAGCATCATCATCTTTGATGAAAACAGTGGGTATCTTCGGCTGTTCGAATTGACCGATTGCAAGATTAACTCCAAAGCGTTAGCAGGAAATCTGCAGGAGAACAGTACATTTCCCAGTGAAGGAAATCAAAAAGAAAGATTGCGTAGCACCGATCTATTGATTGAGAAAAATACTCTTTAGAAAACAGTATTCGGAAAGCTGATTTTAACAGAATACCGATATTTCGTATATGGCCACAATGTGGAGAAGGTTGTAATGAATTGTTCTCTATTAGACGTCACTTGTTTCCCGTAAACGTATTTATATCCAATGGATGCTGTAATAAATTTAGCTACTTGAACCGTAACACCTATCTTCCACTATGTGTCACTTATGACCATTTTTGATTTTTTTCACACTAAAGATGTCACTCAGCTGCCGGAAATTTGAACCTAAGTTTAATAAAAATTGCAGATGTGAGAGTAGTCGGTATTTAATTTTCCAATAATAATAAGATTTGAAATTGTCTTGCTTTAATAGACTGGTTCAATTATTAAATTACCGTAATTTTCCTTATAGATGAAGAGGAGAATTTAGAGGTGTGGCTCTACAGAAGGATGCTGAGAATATCATGGAACATGCGAGCAACTAGTTTTAAGGAAAATAGGGACGAAAAGGATGTTTAGGATAAGAAAAGAACAGCTGAAATTTCTTGCACGTATAACAAGGACAGATAATTTGCAGAATTTGACATTTACAAGACAAATTGAAGGCAAGAGGGAGAGTGGGGGGAAACATCGTGTAACCTATTTCATGAGTTGGTGTCAATCTATGACAGTAAGGGGACAAATATTGCTTAGAAATATATAGGTCAGGAAGTCGTGGAGAGCCATGATCACCTATTCCTTGAAAGAATACGACACAAAGAAGTAAGTCCTATCTTGACTGTGTTCCCAGCACTGTGGCCCACTGATTAAAAAAATAGGTAGAAGGTGTTTCCCATACAGAAGTGCTTAGCAATTTAGTTTGTTATTGCGTTAACGTTAATTGTCAGCCGGCATTGAGACATGAATCGGCTTCGACAATATCCTCGCAAAGTGTCTGCCCTTGTAGCGGACACGTCACAATTGAATAATTCAAAACTGTTTTTGTGTTAAGAAAATCGGTGATAGCCAACAAGATCCGGTCTTCGACTGTCGATAAATCATGTCTTCTTAAAAGCTTTTCGGAAGTTGATTGGAAATGGCGCCAATTTCGGGTGAAATGCCGTCAGCAATCAATTTTAATGTAAAACATTAGCTGACTGCACCACCCCATCGTTTCTTTATGTAACACTCGTACCCCTAAGGGTATTCTTTCAAATCATTCACGAAAAAAATTAGTGTTATTCTTTAACTGGACTTGTTTATTGATTCTTTTTAACCTTAGCCATGTTCGATACGGGGTCAAATGCGAGTTGAAAGATTATGCAGCGCCAATCGTTTTAGCAGGGAGGACTTGCCTGTTTGTTTGCTTTGAATATCATTATACACAATTCTGGCTTTTATATGGGCTTAAAAGCGACGGCTTGGGAATAATAACTTCAGTTTCGTGATAGACCTGTAGCGGACAGTGGGTTTACGTGTTCGTAAATTAGGAACACGTGTGTTTATTCCTGCTAGAAGAAGGTCCATTACAGGAACATGGCGGACTCAGAGATTGAATCCACCATATAAAGAAGTGTAAAAAAAAACCAAGATCAATATATATATATAATATATATATATATATATATATATATATATATATATATATATATATATATATATACACAAACAAGAATATGTATTAAACAACAAAATTTACAATGGGCATAGACATTAACATTTGTTTTTGTGTGTGAACGTAAAGAGTTTATATTTTGGTATGTACGTGTATGTGTGTATAATGTTCATGGCGTCTCCCACAAATGGGAAGACGCAATCTTCAGCGAGAGCTTACATTGTAGATGTGTTCGCTGAAAATGAAGAAATGAAAAAGAGGACGAGGCAAGGAATCGTCCAGTATTATAGTGTAGGGAGAGCGTCTCCTAGTGAACAATTTGGACAATTAAGGAGTTAATTCCGACAATAGACCCACTCGTGATATCAACATAATCTTTGTTTTTCTATTAGATAAAGCTTTGTCAACCATTATTATTAATTTTTGAATAGTGTTTACTTTCATCTTCATTTTTTATTAGATGAAGCATTGTCAGTCATTATTATTATTTTTTCGTCTGTATTTACATTCAGATTCATTTTTATTAGATGAAGCATTGTCAGCCATTATTATTAATTTTTGACTAGTATTTACTTTCATCTTCATTTTTATTAGATTAGATTAGTCAATAATTATTATTTATTTGTGACAAGTATTTACTTTCATCTTCATTTTAGCTGCTTTTTATTGCAACTTTATTTAGTCTTTCAATCTACGGTTGTAGTTAATGATTGCAGATCAGAATAAAAGGTATGCCCTCAGCGATTTTCGAATTCTCTTTTGCGTGAGTCTGAACTGTCTATCGAT